ACCGCAGTTGGAGTACTGCGTGCAATTCTGGGCACCGCACTTCAAGAGAAATGTGGATAACCTGGAGGGGGTCCAGAGAAGGGCCACTCATATGGTTAAGGGCTTGCAGCCCAAGCCCTACGAGGAGAGACTAGAGAACCTGGACCTTTTTAGCCTCCGCAAGAGAAGGTTGAGAGGCAATCTTGGGGCTGCCTATAAGTTCATCACAGGGGCACAGAAGGGAATCGGTGACGTTTTATTCACCAAGGCGCCCCCGGGGGTTACAAGAAATAATGGCCACAAGCTAGCAGAGAGCAGATTTAGACTAGACGTTAGGAAGAACTTCTTCACAGTTAGAGTGGCCAAGGTCTGGAATGGGCTCCCAAGGGAGGTGGTGCTCTCCCCTACCCTGGGGGTCTTCAAGTGGAGGTTAGATAGGCATCTAGCTGGGGTCATCTAAACCCAGCATTCTTTCCAGCCTATGCAGAGGGTCGGACTCGATGATCTATTGAGGTCCCTTCTGACCCTAACATCTATGAATGAATCTATGAATTGCCCATCTATGTGCATTAGACTAAGTCCCAAAATGTTAGCTGTAGAAAAACCATGATAAGAAAGTTTGGAGAAAGCAGTATCTCCCACCTTTTAGCCTAGCGGTAAATGCTCTTGCCCAGAGACCAGAAAACCTGGGTAGTAGGCCCCAGTCAGCTACATGAGACTTGAACCCATATCTCCTATTTACAAGCGAAGTTTCTTTTTGTATAAACAAGTGTACTCTTAATAAAACTTTAAAATCCATAACATCATTTCAAATCACACATCAAATTATATAACAGCAACTCAAAACACATAGTCTTACATCAGACTTACACAACTGCTAACATATCTTCCGCCCCTGTACATTGTAGAATATCTACATCCCATTTACAAATGCAAAATATTACAATTCCATTTAACAGCTCATGTCCTCCCTTCCCATATAACTTGTAACCATTACAACACGTTACTACATACTGTCAAGACTTATGCTCCCCTCCCCAACATGTATCCAAAAAGAAGCAACCCCATATTTAAGATAGAAAAGAAAAACACACACACAAAGGATACCTTATTTTCTTCTACCTGACTTTACATCCGTTAGTATAACAAATACACATACAACTCTAACCTCCATTCCACTAAACAAAAAACATGCTTCCAAGCAAAGTGCTCTAGCCACCTTGCCATAGACTAGCACTATCTAGAGAATTTCTCTGCCCCTTGTACTTAATATTCATGGGCTAAAACAAACACCTACTGGGAAAGTTTCTGTCAGACTGGAAGCAAAGGCCCAGGCTAGAACGCAGGGCTGTATCCCACCGAGGGCAGTATCCATCTCACTGAGACATACATTCTGGCTTCCTCACTTCTTCCTAGCTCACATATTTCCCTTGACTGCCCAGTGGGCCAACTTCAAGAGGACTGCTAGAGAGCAGTCTGGGCAATGTCTGGCTTGTGGTCTGATGGTTAAAACACTCTTCCAGAAAGCAGGAGATATAGGTTCAAACTCCCTCTCAGTGTTGGGGGTCCTAGAACCATTGAAAATTTGGGTTGGAAGGAATCTCAGGAGGTCATCAAGTCCAACCCCGTGTGCAAAGCAGGACCCATCCCCAACAAGATCATTCCAGTCAGGGCTATGTCAACCCAAGCCTAAAAAACCTCCAAGGATTGAGATTCCACCACCTCTCTAGGTAGTCGGTTCCAGTGCTTCACCACCATCTTAGTGAGAAAGATTTTCCTAATATCCAACTTAAACCTCCCTTGCTGCAACTGAAGACAATTGTCCCTTGTTCTGTTGTCTGTCACCAGTAAGAACAGTCTAGCTCTATCCTCTTTGGAGCCACACTTCAGATAGTTAAAGTCTACCATCAAATCTCCTCTCAGTCTTCTCTTCCGTAGACTAAATCAAACCCAGTGCCCTCAGCCTCTCCTCAGGAGCCATGTGCCCCAGCACCTGAATCGCTTTCATTGCCCTCCATTGGACTCTCTCCAGCTTGTCCACAAAACTGGACACACTACTCCAGGTATGGCCTCACTAGTGCAGAATAGAGGGGAATAATTACTTCCCTTTACCCGCTGGCAATGCTCCTACTAATGCAGCTCAGTATGCTGTTAGCCTTCTTGGCAACAGGGGCACACCACTGATTCATATCCATCTTATTGTCCACTGTAACCCCAAGTCCTTTTCTGCAGAGCTGCTGCTTAGCTAGTCAGTCCCCAGGCTGTAGCAGTGCATGGGATTGTTCCATCCTAAGGGCAGGACTTTGCACATGTCCTTGTTGAATCTCATCCGATTTCTTTTGGCCCAATCGTCTAATTTATCTAGGTCACTCTGAAACCTAGCCCTACACTCCAGTGTATCTACTACACCCCCTAGCTTGGTGTTATCCACAAAATTGCTGAGGGTACAATCCATCCTGTCTTCCAGTTTGTTAATGAAGATGTCGAACAAAACTGGGCCCAGGACTGACCCCTGGGGAACTGCTAGACATTTAGCCATTGATTACTACCCATTGGGACCAACAATCCAGCAAACTTTCTAACCACCTTACAGTCCATTCATCCATCCCATACTTCCTCAGCTTGCCTGAAAGAATGCTGTGGGAGATGGTATCAAAAGCCTTGTTAAAGTCAAGGTATATTATGTCCGCTCCTTTCCCTATATCCACAGAGCCAGTTATTTCATCATAGAAGGTGACCAGGTTGATCAGACATGACTTGCCCTTGGTAAATCCAAGCTGACTGTTCCTAATCATCATCTTCTTCTCCAAGTGCTTAGAACTGGATTCTTTGAAGAACTACTCCATTATTTTTCTGGGGACTGATGTGAGGCTGACTGGTGTGTAGTCTCCTGGATCCTCCTTCTTCCCTTTTTTGAAAGATGGGCACTAAATTTGCCCTTTTCCAATCATCCAGGACCTCCCCTGATTACCATGAGTTTTTAAATATAAGGGCGAGCGTCTCTGCAATCACATCAGCCAACTCCCTCCATACAAGTTGGACTTGTATGTGTCCAACTTTTCTAAACAGTCCCTAATCTGGTCTTTCACCACTGTTGGCTGTGCACCTTCTTCCCAAACTGTGCTGTTAGGTGTAGTAGTCTGGGAATTGACCTTGCCTGTGAAGACAGGTAAAAACAGGCATCATGTAGTTCAGCCTCTTCCACATCATCTGTCACTAGGTTGCCTCCCCTATTCAATGAGGGACCCACATTTTCCCTGGCTTTCCTCTTGTTACTGACATACTTGTAGAAACCCTTCTTGTTACTCTTCATGTCCCTGCTAGCTGCAACTCCAGTTGCGCTTTGGCCTTCCTGACTTCATGTCCAGGCAATGTTCTTATACTCCTCCTAAGTTCTTTGTCCAAGCCTCCACTTCTTGTAAGCTTCCTTTTTGTGTTTAAGCTCAGAGTCCTCTGCTAATCCAAGCTGGTCGCTTGCCCTTTTCCTCAGCATGGGGGCACGAGGGGCTAGAGTGCACTTTACCGGCTAAGTACAAAAAAGTCTCTGCTATAAGCTCACTGAGAACTTAAGGCAAATCTCCTAGTGCAAATGTGCATGTAAATAATTACTCAAATGAGAATTGAATTTGCAAGTCTTCAGAAGTGCATAATAGACCTTACAGTTCAAAGAAGGCTAAGCAACAGTAAATGACACTGGATTCATCATGGAAGTTAACATTTTTCTGCAATATAGACAATTCTACAATTCATAAAATCGTAACAATGTGTGGTAAATGGATGTAATTCCAGATACTGGACATGTATTTCTATATTCAGGTTTTTCACTGATCTAAAAAGTCCTCTCTAATTCCAAATGCATTTACCTGATTCTGAGTATTTGTAATCATCTTCTAATGTTTCAAGGGCAAAAAACCGCTTTAAGATTGTGTGTAGACATCTCTGGTCCCAGGTGTCTGTAACTCGCCCTCCATAAGTAATTTCACCTGTAAAATTTATAAGAATTCATATAACAATTCACCTATAAAGCAGCCTTTACTTTTTAAAACTTCACCTCTCATCTTCTCTACAATCCATTACAGCATGGTTTTTCTATGATATTATTATGGAAATAAGAGTGTTTAACTGTCAAGATTTTTTTCTTACTGTTAAACTGACAGCTAATACAAGATGACATTGCAATACATCTAACTCAAATAATAAAAATCAGGAAAATACTAATATTTCACCAAATTACACAGACAATCACATGCCTAATTTGAGCATGTAATTACTTCAGATGTATATGCAAACTAGGTACTGCATTTTATATACCTAATTAACCATCTACATGCACAGGTACTCCATTTGCTGTGTAATTAGGAACTGCACATGCAAAATAGGCACACAAGTTTGCAAAAATTTTACATGTTTTGCATAAATTTTCCAATTTTATACTTGAAAATTCTGGATCCAAAGGCAATAAGATAATGTGCTACCTAATATTCTCCTTTATGGGACTACCTTCTGTCCTAACTTCTGATATCTAAGGATCATCTCAAATTTATCCATTGGTGTAGAAGGTCTGGACACAACTCATGCTAACCAAGTATTTTCAAAGCTATGTTGAAGCACTGACTTCTTTTTGTTGGCATATGTACTCATAGGGTGCATCCAGATGAGCCCATATGTTCCTCTTGCAGCATCTCAGACCCCTTTGAGACATTGCAAGAGGCATGTGAAGGAATGAGAAAATGTTCCCCGCACTGCAAATTTGCTTTTAACACTGTAGACATATCAATAAAACATTGCCCAACTGATTGCTGTCTCTCTGTCTCACTCTCTCTCTTTGCAGTGGTCTTTTGTTTTAATTGTGGAGGAATGTGGATTTTGAGGTATTTTACAAAGTGACTTTGGGATTTATTTTATCAGGGATTTTTCAGTTGTCCAATAGGAAACACCAGAATTCCTGCTAGGGAGGCCAGTGGCAGGACCCTGCCTGCACCTTGGACCTAGCTGACTGTGGCTTACCCCCTGGCCAGTTGGGGCCAGGAGGACATGCTTTGACAGTTCAAAGCAGGGCACCACACCTGGAACATCTTCTGGGCAATAGCTGCCCACATGGCCGTGCAGGGGGCACACATGGCAGTAGTGCTGCACAAAGGCCAACCCTGCAGCCACAGCCCACTGGCAGCTGGCCCAGAGGAGCAGATGCCTCTACTGGCTGTGCAGTCCCCATTCGGGTCTGGCAGGTGCATAGCAGATTATAGCCAGGCAGCAGCCCCCACTGCCAGACTGCTGCAGTGGGTAGAGGGTGCAGGGAACTCTCAGGGCTGCTTCAGCAGTCCAGCTGGCACAAGGGGTAGTGTCCTCAGATACCAATTGGCAGGCCCCAGAAGCTTCTGAGAGTGAGTAGCCCTGAGCTACTTGCCAAGGTAGCTTTTTGTACTGACAGGGCCAGGACAGGGCAGCTTTTTATACTGCTGGGGACAGCATAGGTGCTGGCACTGGGCTCTAGCTCCCCCTGGCTGCACATCTGGGAGAAGCCAGTCAGGTTTATTTTGCCCCAAGTGGCACAATTTCCTCCACAAGAAAGTGCATGTCCAAGCACATGCGCTGAGGCAAAAAGCCCTGGCTCAAATTTGCACCGCTTCTATTTGAGCTGCTGCAAGTGCACGTGCTTACATGTGTGGATGCCCCCATAAAGGTTTACTACTGATTCAATAATATTGAACAATATACATGACCCAAAAAGAGGTCTCCATAAGGAAACTCAAGCACTTCCATCCAGCAGGGCAAATTAAGAGAGGGATCATTTTTTAAAAAAAATAATTGGGCAATGAATTTTTCTATTGCTTCCATGTCATTTACCTCAAGCAAATATTTGAGATATGGTGAGCATTATGGAAAAAAGTTTTAGAGGGGAAGAAATAGAGACAAATAGAAAATTACCTAGTCCCTTAATCTGCTTTAAGACCAGAGTTGGGAGCAGC